AGAATAAGTTTGTAACAAAAATAAAATGATCAAATAATTTTAAGTACCTATATATATTGTTTGAAATATATTGTTTATATATTTAAAATTTCACATGAATTGCTTTTGTTTTGAAAAAGTTATACGCGTTTATATTATATAAATAACATTCCAAAATTTTTTGCACCATACCGTATATTAAAATTAATAAAGAATATGAATTGGTGAAGCTTTGGCACATTAGCTAAGTATATGTCAATATTTGGCAATAAGCTGTATAGTAGAAGAAATTCTTAATGACTTTTATTTGGAAAAACAAGAGTGGGAAATTTGTATAAAACAAATTTGTATATACTTAATTATATAAATCTAATAAAACAAGGTATAAGTCATGTATTTTAAAAAAAAAATTAAAAATTAATTTTTTTTCAATTAATTAAAAGATATTATAGAATCTTACAATACTTCTTAAATTATTAAAATCATTCAGTATCTGAAAACAAGTTATATTTAATATCAAAAGTATTATAATCTTCTATAAGTAAAATAAAAATAAACCAATTATATGTAAAAGATCAGCCAAATAAGTTGTCAAGTTCTTTATAAAAATAAAAAATCAATTCACCAGCTTTTAAGAATATTTTTCAAAAATTAAATATATAAATTATTATTTTTCAATTAAAAACCAATATTAAAAAGAATATAAAAAATTGAAAAAGAAATTTTATAACAAATATTTCAAGTTAAACAATTTAGATTTTATTATTAGAACTTTTAAAAAAAATTAAAATACTTATAAATAAAACTCTTTTTATAAAATATTATAGATTAATAAATCTGTTTTTGTTAAAATTTTAATAAATTACTCAACTTTTCTAATATAAATTTAATTTTTTTTAATTTTACTTAAAAAAATTAATTATAAAGAAATTTACAAAACCTGTAAAAAATAATTAAACAAGATCTTTTTACTCTTCTAAAAGATTCAAATAAAATACTCAAAGTTATTAAAATTTGACTTTATGTAATTTTATTAAATTATTTATATTCAATTATATAACTACAAGATTTATTTAAGTTAATTTACTTTTTCTATTTATAGTATTATTTAATTTTACAAATTTACTATTATTAGAATAAATTTATATATTTGAATAAAATCTTTAAGAGATAAAAATATCATTATTAACTTATAAATTATTTAATTCTATTTAGATCTTTATTATTATTTGAAGTATATATTTTCCAAAATTGATTAGAATATATAAATAATTTATTCAATACTCTTTACTTAAAATCTTAAAAATATACTATATTTATTATTATTTTTTATGACATCATATTTCTTTTTTTATTGAAATTTTTTAAAATTGGAATAGCCTTAATCTAAAATAGATTTGTGTTATAGAGTTTGCTATGCTAATTGAAATTGTAAGCTTTATAGAATTTAAATCAAAAATATTGTCTTAGCTAAAAAACAAGCTAATAATCTTTTTATTTTAATAAAGAATACAAATAAATTTATTATATCTAGAAAATTTTGAATCAACATATAATAATTTTTTATTTTGGATATGGATATTAACAATTAGACTAAAGTAACAGTAGAGAAATATTATTATCTTTTTAAAATCTTATAATATCTATATAATAGCTTACTAATATATTTTTTTAAGTCGTTAATAAAATAAAAATAAAAGATAATTACTTCTTGCTTCTTAAAAAGCAAAAGCATTTACAAAAACTATTATATCAATAATTTTTACTTAATTCTTTTGTAATCAAATATTAAAATACAAATAAATTTCAAGATTTAATTCCTATTGATCTTTTTATCTTAATTACTAATGAATTTATATTTAACAATAATATTCTTTTTAGATATTTTAAACATTTAATTTCAGTTTATAATAATATACTTTATAATAGCTTCGAGTAAATATTTATAAATATTTATAACTATTTAACATTATTTCAGAAATTATATGGGTTTTAATATTTATTTTTTTTTATATTCTATAATATTTAATTATTTTAATGCTTGATAAATAAAATTTATAGGCATTAGTTTATTTGTTAAGCAATAATCGTAAAAGTATTATACACGTTAGAAATTTTTTTATTTAGAAAACAACTACTAAATATAATAATTTATTTAAGCATAATAATATTTATTATAAGTAAATTTTACTATAAATAAAAAAATTGATTTCTTATATAAAATAGTCCTGTCTTAAAAAAAAATTTGAAAAATATTTTTATTAAAAACTTACGGTATTTAAAATTTTTAGGACTACGTACTATTTATAATATTATTAATATTGCATTTGCAAATATTGTAGCATACAATACATGTCCATTATTATGCACCGGACAATGAGTTTAACCTTTTAATATATTACTTTATTCTACTATATACAGTGGCACCTGTCTATTTGCATAAAGTTGGGACCATAGTGAAATTTTTATAAAAATATGCATTTAGACAGGTTATGCATACCGTATATACGTCGGATTTTTATAAGAGTTTTATAAGTTGGGACTGAGCAAGAAATATGCATTTGTACGTTTTTTACATAGAATATGCAAATAAACAATATGCAAATAGCAGGTGCCACTGTATATTCAAATGAGTCTTCAAATAGCCGCATACATGCAGAATTTAGGGTAACAAATAAAATGCTAAAAGAGAAAATTGTACGCCAACACTGTATCTATAAAAAAGATGATAGAAATTTTTACAAACAATGCTTGTGCTTTTCGCATCATAGCATCCATCATAATGACTCGTCTAAACGTTCAGGTATTCTTCTATATTTCTCTTCTTATTGGATTATTAGCGTTCGAGGCAAATGGAGGCATGTATATATGTGTTATTTTTTCTATATTTTTTTATAATTGATGTGATAGTATTTTGTTCTCTAACATAACTTTATAATATTTTCCTTCTTGGAACTTAGATACCTTCTCTGTTGTAGGTCCTGCTACTACTATTGTAATTACTGGTACCGGTACCCTCCCGGCTGCCAGTGAGATTCCTTCCGGAGTTACAATCTTTGGTCCCTCTACTACAATTGTCGGAATCTCCCCCGTAGGCACAGTTCCCACTACACCTGGAACTGTTACTGGAAGCTCGCAAACCAGTTTACCTTCAGGTTCTGACATTACGGGGAGCGCTTCAGCTTCAGGAAGTGCTTCAGCTTCGGGAAGTGCTTCAGCTTCGGGAAGTGCATCGGCTTCAGGAAGTGCTTCAGCTTCGGGAAGTGCTTCAGCTTCAGAAAGTGCAACTTTGACAAAGGCTCCTGCGACAAGTACGACTTCTACGACGGGTACGGCCACTACAAGTACATCTTCTGCAAGTGCGTCCACATCGAGTACCAATTCTGCAACAGGTATGTTTCGGGAAACAATGATAACATAAAAATTTTTTATTAAGTGATTTAATTCTTAATGTCATTTTTTTTTTTAGCTACAGCTACCGCAAAATCATCAGCATCTCACATCAAACCTGCTTTAAGTCTAATGATTTTGTTAATTGTTGCCATTTCTGTTGGAATTTTTTAATATTAGTGGTTTAATGATATAATTCTTTAGCTAGAGCAATCCTTATTTTCTTTAATTGTAATTTGATAATATTAGCTATTACCGTAATAAAGTTTGATTACATAAAATCAGTAAATTACTGCAGTTGATATATTGACACATATCTTATTACTCAATTATACGAGCTCTTTGGTTGTTAATCAGTGAAAAATATTGTAAGACGTTTAGTAATGGGACTTCGAAAGGTTCCCCTTGAAATAGACGTCATCGATATTTAATGAACATACAATACGTCTTACAGTAAGTTACATTCTCCAACTTTGGATGTAATTTTAATAAAATAACTGGTACCGTTGACATACATAATGTTTAGTGACACAGATGGACCCCTCGTTTTTTGTGAATACTGTATTACCAAAACATTAAATAAATACATACTGTACGCGTGTGATCTTATTAGAAATTTATTCCTATTTTAAACGACGTGGGGGGTGTCTCTGTACAACGATAGTACAGCGTAGGTGCATTACCCCTACAGAGGCACGAATTGTTTTTTTATCGAAATTTCAGATCATGAGAACAAGAGCCGTAAGCCTATCGCTTTAATCACAAAATATTGCGATTGATTTAATTATTTTTCAATGAAATTTGAACAATTTTCACAAGGTGCTACTTTTTCACAAGATTCTGTTGCCATTGATAACATGGGTTCCACAATACTACCAAAAATAAAAGGAAAGCAAGGTTCAAGATTTCTAAAGTACAATCGTTAATAATTGAGTTCTATACTACAGTATTTCGATCGTCATTCTGCGTGAACATCTTTAAACATGCGGGTCAAATATAAATGATAGAATGTCTAATCAGCATGCAACAATTAATGCAAGAATTATCATTAGCTCAAAAAGATCGTTTTGATATGCTGATTATTACTGAATAGCAGAAGAGTCATGTAATTAATAGACATGTATAACTTTATATTTAATTAATGTTGTTTATTCCACACTTTTCATATGGGTCTATTACGTAATTTTTTGTGGTCCGATATTGTCAAGGGCATCACCGGCTGAGATGAAACAATCGTGCAAATTCTTGTAACTTGTTACCTTAATCTCTGCACCAAACTATTGAGGAAAATTTGATGATGTCAATGTAATGACAAATGTGGATGAACCTGTTGTGTTAATTTTAGATAAAAGTAGTAGCATCATATTTTCTTTCTGCACATTACCTTTTAATACTCGAAATTCTTACTTTTCAAATTCTCAAGCTGGCTGAACACTTCTTACAACACTAGACAACTCTCGGAAGACATAATATGCTAATTATTACAGTACAGTAATTCATTTGAAAACAATGAAAACAATGCTGTATGTATACAGTGCAATGCTGCACAATAGCACGAGTAACACCTTAACAATTCTGTCGTGATTGTACAATGAAGATAAGTAATTTGAGACAATAAGTCGATAAAAACCGTAATCATCTGTGATACGTTACTCGATGCAAGACCCCCTTGATTTAACAATGCCTTTTGACTGTCCGCCTTAGGAAATAATCATTGATCATTTTGTTTTTCCAATAAAAGAATGTTCAATAATTCAAGGAGTAAATAATTCTAATTTCGCAAATAACCATTAATGGATCGGGTTGAATCGGGTTTGAATATGACCTGATCAATACAGATCTGATAGATCTGATTATATCCATAATTCAATCGTAATTTGACGAACTTATGAAATACAATTTAATATTCTTAATTTCGCTTTTTAATAAAATTTAATAACTTATGTTTTAATAATAAATATATTTCTCTAATAATTTTTAAAAAAATTTTTTAATTGTAATTTATAATTTAATCTTTGTAAAAATTTATAATATTTATAATATAAAGTATATAATATACATACAGTGTGGGTCAAAAATAATTGGACAAGATTTTTTATCTATAATTTAATGAATAATTATTGAAATTAAATAAAA